GTACATAGAAACAAGCAGAATAATAGTATAGATAATTTTCTTAAATTGCAACCTGAGAACATTATTCTAAGAATAATTTGAAAAACTACACAAACCAATTTATTCTTAAAATTAGACTCCTAAATGACCTTCTATCACGCTTATAAAACAAAGATTAATTTATCTTTGGATAAAAAAAATCAAAATATAAACGATATTTTGTTTTAAACCAAAACACGTGCATACTGACAGAACATTAAGAAGTATACTTTGCAACAAGGGAGTTTATTTTCGTCACTGTTTAACTTATTAAACAATGTCAGTATAAAAAAAAACTTATTACCATCCTCCTTTAGCAGCGATTATATAATTTGTTTGTATTCGTAGAAATTGTTAACCGTTTTCTTTTTCTTATTCTTTGTATAATCAGTGTTTTATAGACTGCAAGTTATTATTGTTGAGATATCGTTGTCATTTTTACAGAGAAGTTTACAGACTTACGGAGAGCATTGGGTGTATGTTTCTAATTATCTACAATGCTACGTCCATTGTAGCTTACTTTATTATGCCTAACGATTGTGATGAAAATCACGTTTGGCTCCATATATTCTTTATTACCACATTTCACTTTAATTGGAAATAAAAATGAAATAGTGGACTAATTAAGATAAATGCGATAAAAACACCTGCAGTCAAACGTGATTTTTATCATATTTGTTAGGCTTAATGAGTTCCTTGCTTCACTAGTTTACGTATTTTTCACTAGAAATATGGACCTTTTTTATATAAAGAACATTTTGCTTGTCACAGATCTAACTTACTGATGAGTTCTAGCATTGAATGAAAGACATTTTGAACACAGTGACACGTGGAAGACAAGTGATTGATGTGAACTAGTAATTCATACAGTTCCGTAATGACCAATTAAGAGAAATGTGCTAAAAAAAACATCTGCAGTCAAATGAGATTTCATGACTTTTCTTAGCCTGAATGAATTTTTTTATCCTCGGTATCTTTGACGTTTTCATAATATTGAGCATATATATATCTTTTCGTATTGTCATGATTTTATTTGTATTTGTAACTGGTTGACAGCCTGGTACCAATAACTTTTTTTTTCAGCAAATCATGTTAGTTACTTAAACTAAAAAATTAACAAATATTAAATTAAAAAAAACACAAATGACGGTTAAAAAGACCGTGTAAGTAGCACTAGAAACCTTTTAAGTGACACGTCAGACAAAACTAAGCTTAAAACACAAAAGGTTAAAACAATGAGAAAGGTACTAGATTGTATGGTAGGTTCTAATCATTAGATTTTAATGAAATTGGCTTTACCTTTTGTGTTTTAAGTTGAAGTTTGTCTTGTGTATCACTAAAAATGTTTTAATCAAACAAATCATTATCAAATCCACCACTTCCAATATATTTATGTTAGGAAAGAAGCATGTGGGTCTATGGTTATTATGAGGTGACAATTAATTTGTTTTATTCTCATTCTCGTTTCATGTGGCATTGTACTCGATTTCCATAAACTCAAATTATTTCAGTTTAATTTTGGAGCAGGCAGAGCCCCAATCTACTTGTAAAATCTCGGGCTAATCCCGTAGAACATGTAGTATGTAGATGTAAATCTTCATAACAAATAATTTAAAGGAAGCTTGGTAAAGATGGGATAAAAGTTAGGTTGAATAAATCACTCCGACAAGCAGGGAGAACGATTCACCAGTCACTTCATGAGCACCAGTAATCCGAACATATGTTCTTTGTTTGAGAAGATAACACTACCATAATGTTGCTCTAACACCCTTAGTTTCCTGGGAACAAAGATGCTAATGAACCATGACAGGGCTGAGATCGACCTTTTGATGAGATGTGTCTTCAGGGTAAATATTGATTTTTATCAGGATTGTGAGAAGTCCACACGTTTCGACACCAGCATGGATAATTCTCGAGAGCAAACTGTTTCAAAAGAATTGAACATTAAAAAAAGTAAAAGCTGCGACTATATCTGAGCATACTATGATTACTATGTTTTTAAATGGTACCACACACACTCATACGACTGACACATTTTAGTTTCAAAAGTATTTATATGGATTGTTTTTTGAAATTCTATACCTTAATGAATCTAAAAATTGAACGTAAAATTATACCTAATATAGAGATATTTCAGCTATAATGTCTTATGGTTTATAACCTTACATTATGTGTTTCGACAAGTATGATTCATAAAATTTAGCTTTTCTGCTTATAACATTGCTTGGGTAGTATAAATGTTTTTAATCAAGTTTCGTGCATAGTAATGATCTACTCCATTTTTACTTAAAGTTGTTTTATTAATACTATTAGTTTTAACATTTCAAGTAATCTATGAAATAATCATCATTGCTATTACAGTTATGAAAAACAATTTTAATTAATAGTTTAGTGTGTGTGTGTGTATTTTCTTAAAGCAAAGCCACATTGGACATCTGTTGTGTCCACCGAGGGGAATCGAGTCCCTGATTTTAGCATAGTAAATCTGAAACCTTACCGCCATCCTACTGGGAGACTGATAGCGTAGTGTATGGATTTAGGATAATTCTAAGTCTCCTAAACTTTCAGAATCTTGTTCGTGATATATTATTGGGATTACGACCGAAAGCATTGTTAATAGCGAGGGTATTCAAATGATGTTTCAATCAGTTGTAATTTTCATAGCTTTGCGTTTTTTGTGTGTTTTGATTTATGACATTAGTTACTTCTTGTTAGTTTGTTGAATAAAACGAGTTTATTTTTCAAGTACAAACTTTTAGCTCATAACTCCATTTCTTGACCGATTTGAGATCTAATTACAGCCGCGGCTGTTGAGGATTCCCGCTTATTTATTTTATAAATTATTTTCAATTCTTATTTATATAGTTAGCTTTCTTTTGATAAGAAGTTATTAGTGTCCTCTGGTGGGCCAGCAGCAAGTTTGAGGGCATACAATGATAAAATCGGTTCCTCGCGGTGTATATTGATTAGTATTCCACCAATTATGATCACTAGCACAGATAATAAAAACATTCATTATTTTTGCACACTGTTTTCAAATTTTTATTGTATTTTAAAGGTGGAATCAATGGCAGTAGAGTTGTCAATAATAACCTCTAAAAGAAATAAGACATGATGATGACACACTGATGTCATAAAGTAATCTAACAGAAAAGAAAAATCACAGTGTGTTAAGTAACATTTTACAGTGGTTATGCCATGAAAGCACCTGGTAATTAGGTCGCTTGACTCACAATACGCGGGTCACGGATCTAAATCTGGCGCTGATCACGCTTGCCATTTCAGCTATGAAGGCATTATAATGTGACGGTCAATCCCACTATTCATTGGTAAAAAATTGGCCCAACACTTTTTCTGACCGATTGACTTCTCTTTGGTTAATAATTTAAAATTCGGGACTAGGTAGCTTTGTCACGAACAACAACAACCTTTTGTAAAAATATGAAGCTTTCTAATTAAAAATAGCAGCACAATAAACGCTTTTACTAAACTTTCTTGCCACGTAAGAACATTAGAATGTGTATCTAGTATGGACACAAGAACAAAATACAAGCAAATACATCCACAAGTAAGAAGCACAACATAATTACGTATTTATTTTGCTTATATGCCCCCCCCCCCCAGTGGCTCAGCGGTAAGTCTGACGACTCTTAACGCTAAAAACCGAATTTCGATAGCCATGGTGGACACAGTACAGATACCCAATTCTATAGCTTTGTGCTTAACAACAAACGAACAAACAAATATCTGCTCTGACGCATAAAATGTAAATATTTTGGAGAATTATGAATACTTTAAAATATACCTTAATTGATATATAATAATTGATAGTAAGAAAGACTAGGTCAGTTGTTTGGCTCGCTTTCCTCGTTACCAAATCACGCAAGATTGTTTCCATCATTTCTTAGGCTATAGGGTAGAATTGAAAATATTAGTTTATCAATGAGTATGGTCTGTAATTGGTTCACAAATGTATCCAAAAGATGCTTAATCGGATTGAAATTTGGAAATTGTGTTGGGTGAGGTAGATCTGTTTTTCTTTGGAAGAGCTTTGGTCAATCAGATTGGTAGTGCAACATTATAAGAGAGACAGCTACAACACTGATGTACACTCTGCATGTTATTAATTTTTCTAAATGAACCAGGTGACCCAGTTTCGGTCAGAAGAACTTTCCCAAACCTTTACACGACCTTTATCAGTTTGTGCTGTCGGTATAATATAAGTAAAAAACAAAAGTGGTCAACTGCCTTAAGTGAAGTTTTACAGATCACCGCATCATAAACTTTCAGGCATTTACTTTTTACAGTTTGCGTTTTACAAATCACTGAAGACGTGCTTTTCTGTTTGCATTTGACACTTGTGGTTTCTAAATATTTTTGGGTTGTATTATGATATTCTTCGCACAATACACTTAAGGATGATCACTTGTTGAAGAAATCGGTCAACTGGGACACATCTTGACATCTATTACCCTTTACACTCCACTAGTGTCAGAGCGACCACAGCATTACTTACCAGCAGTGATAGCAACAAACGATTTAATTTTCTGTTGCTATTGTTGATAGACGATAATCAAAGATATTTTTGCAACAGAAGGTCGAGGAATGATATTTGATAACAACGCTTGAATCATATCAGCATTCACTATCGATCCTCTTATAAAGTTAAAGATCTTTGCTCGTAGTGACTGTTTTGCGGACTAATTGTCTCTGCATTTAGAGTGCCCACGCAGTCATCTAATGCATTACATTATTTTTCACTCAGTACAATTTCATGACGTACTTGAAGTTGATGTGCAGATTTACCCGACAATCAGTACGAGCCTCTCTTTCCAATACTCATTTAATATTTAATTATTTAATCCATTAATGTCATAAAATGTATTTAAAATGTTCATCTAATTGTGACCCTAAATTTTCCGTCTAGCCCATCGTCTATCATCATATTGTGAAGTTGAAGAAAAGTTCACACTTCAAAAGTTAAATACAGAAATCTACACTTTGAGTCAAAGGTATGATTAGAATATTTAAACGAAACTGGTGTTTTGTTCCCTAACTATGCACGTAAAAACAATGCTTTTGTTATATCTTACCTGTCAGTTAGAATACTTTGGTATTAAGATGAATCGCAGTTTGTTTCATTATTGTGAAAACTATTTTCAGTTTATCTTTATTAATTCTTAAGCTTTTAAGATTAAGGACTTAAGACCTAGCACTTCAAATCAGTGCTCTCGCGTTTTCCTAATTTAAAAAAAAATCAAATTAAGAGCAGAAGCGATTACATGAAACAGTATGATGCATACAGAAATTATTAGAAAAATCACGGTATTGCTGTAGTTCTTTGACATTAAATTTTATAGAAATGTCGGAGTTTTAACGTTTACTTCGAGTCTAAAAGTCGTATGAAAATAATACTTTTATTTCTATTTCAGACTATAGATGAATAATGTATATTATTTAATTTTGTGCTGTAACATAGGTTAAAAAAGGAAAAATGTGCTTGCCAATGTAATTTAATAAAGTATTCTTGGCGTATTTAATAAAGTATTTTTGATTCTTCTAGCTTTACTTAATACCATTCGTATTATAAAATCATGTCTGGTAAATATTAATATAGACTTAACCTCCTACTGAGATAGTATTCTACAACTTCTACCAAGAGAAATAGAAAAGTTTAACCGAACTCAAGTCTAAGGTTTGACAGCTAAATCTTTTGGGATGTGACTCATATTTACAACGGCACAATGTATCTAAAGAATTTCTAGGTGTGTAAATACCGATCAGCTTCGAAGGTACGGAAAAACCTTTACGTCAGTTTTCAACACAGCTGTCAGCTCAAACACGAAATGGTTGATTAAAAAGAAATTCTCAATATTCTATACTAAAATCATCTCTCTCACAACAGTTGGAAGTTTTCAGTTATCATGTATATATAGATTTTTATGCTTCATGAATTTACGGCGGATAGTTCTGAAGGTTACTGAATGCGTTAAAGATAATTTGTTGTAACATTTAGCGATGATATTTTGTTTTTAATTGGGCTTTAGATTGTCATTAGAACTAGCTGTAGTGTATAGTAATAACGTGCAATACGAACTCTGATGAACGATGGGCGCAGGTTGGCCTTTCGTTAGAACTCTTGACTTTGGAGCTGGCGAACCGGATTTATATCCATGGGATATCACAAAATATTCACCGCACATTAAGTTGTGGGTGCGTTATAAGATTAACAGTCAACTCCTCAGCGTAGATGTTGTGACTATATTGTTGCGTTCTTTTTGGTTAGCACTCCAAAATTAAGGATTTTGTTTGTTTGTTTGAACTTAAGCACAAAGCTACACAATGGGCTATCTGTAATCTGCCCACCACGGGTATTGAAATCCGGTTTCTAGTGTTGCAAGTCCGCAGACATACCGCTGTGCCATTGGGAGGCCCAAAATTAAGGACTGCAATAGATAGCCTCAGTAGCTTTATCATGAATACCAACTATAGATACCAAAGAACTTAATAATAAAATTCGCAGACATCGTAGGGAAAGTATATTCATTAAAGTATTGAAGATTGGCCTTGGCATGTTAGTAATGTGATAATAATGCATTACGTGTATCGCGTATAATTTTATATATTTCTAATGATTTCGAGAAGTAACTTTCTTCGGTCTCTTATATGAGATATCTGATGGTTTTTTTATTATTGAAAATACACAATACAAGAAATGACTGGGACTACAGATGAACAACTATTTTTATCGATACTATTGAAAAATATGCTACAGAATAGTTTGTTTTAATAATAATTAACTCAGAACAAAATACTACTTGTGAATAACTTAGCAGGACGCATGAACGTGTATTCAAATTGGCAATAATAAACAAAATATTATTATTAACATATCTCCATAGGTGTGTTAAATATACCACATTGATATTCTTTGTAAATTATACACGATTAAAGTGTATTATATTAGGTCGTCAAGAAATTAATGTCGCGTTTTGGAACACTTTTATTAACCATCCCCAAAAACTTCACGTTAGTGTAGCCTATATAATGTGTAACGTTTAGTAT